TTAATGTATTTTAACATGCCAGAATGCATTCAGTCCCCTAAAAAGTTAACAAGCATGTACAAAAAGACAAACACTGCATGATCTCACTTATATGTGAAATCTAAAAAATTCAGACTCATGGCAGTGAGTAGGATAGTTACCAGCAATGGCCAAGAGGATGGATTAGGAAAAGGGATTTGCTAGTCAGAGAGGACAAATTCCAATTAGGCAGAAAAAATAACTTCTACAGGACTAGTGCACAGCATGGTGATTGCAGTTAATAATAAAATATCATGTATTTCAAGATTGCTAAAGGAGTAGATCTTAAGTGTTCTCACCAAAAGAAATAATAAGAATGTACAGTGATGGGTATGCTAATTAGCCTGATTTAATTATTCTATGGTGAATGTATGTCATAGCATCTCACTATACTTCATAAATACAATTACTGTCAATTAAAAATAAAATTTAAAAAACCCAACTCATTTCCTAAAAAACTTCCCAAGAAATAATAGCAAGTGGAAGCAAATATTATATATTTAAGGATAATAGTTTAATTTTTTGTTATAGCAAAAAATAAAGGAAAAACAGAAATAAGACAAGGATTAAATAAGCCAGGGTAGATTGAATGTACATGATAAGTTTTCCTAAATAGAAGGAAATAATGAATGTGGGGTATACAGTTAGTGTTGTCTAATACTATAAGTAGAAACATATATGTCACCCACAGTCACCCAGATTAACGTAAAATGTAAAATGCCAAAACAATATCAGAGATACTGTGATGATCTCTGGGTGCTTAATGATTTTCCTGTTTATTTTATTCACTATATTTTTGTCAAAAATAAATTCAGATGGTTTCATTATTTAAAAAAAATATATTATGAAGCTTTTCCTACATGAATTTCTTTCTGATTCTGCTCTTTGGAAAGCATGAAGTCCAGGCCACACAGGCATCCTTTCCTCTGGGGCCCTGTGCATGGCCAGGGTCACATCGTGGGTCAGCCCAGCACATCAATTCACCAAGAAAATAGGAAAACTTCAAGTTAAGTGTATTATAGCCTTGGTTACAAGAATAAATTCTCCTTCTGAAAATATCTAAAATGTGGTATATATATTTTATATTACAAACATAAAAGAGGTGACATATTGTCAAAATCTATGTAAAGGCAGGACCCCCAAGAGATAAGGAGATCTCATGGCAGCTTCTTCCCTGAGGGTATTAGGCAAGCCAGATGAAAACACAGGGCGGGGAGGACAAAAGACAAGTCCAAGCTTACCCATGGGGAAAGCAACTACCAGCAATGACTGCCTGGAAAGCTGAGATCTAACCAGAAATAAATCTGCTTTGCCCAATTTCCCCAAATAAACCGGAGTCTCTCCTTCCCTAAAGGGGGCATGGAGAAATCTGCCACAGTTTTGAAAAAAAAAAAAAAATCTCTAGTTGCAACCAAATTACTCCCTCACCCATTGACTATTGAAATTCATGGTGACTGTTTAAAAGTCTTTAAACCCCATGGATTAAAGTTGTGGAAGCAAGTGTCCATGCTCTCTAGAAGAACACGTTATCATCTTAGCCTTGAAGAAGGCTCACGGATAAGTTGCACCAAACAGAGTTGCTCCCATTTGGAAATAACAAGACAATGAACCACAAAGAAGAACCAGCCAATGGGCACTTGCAGGTGGTACGTTTTATTTCTGAGCTTATAACCAAGGCAAGGAGAGCTGCTGGTACCAGGGTTTTCTTCACTGTTGTTAATATCATGAACAGTCTAATAGAGCAACATGCCAATATTAAGGATTATACAGGAAGAAACAAAATTGTCATTATTTGATAATTAAATAATTGGATAGGTGGAAATTCAAAAGAATTTACAGATAGATTATAAGAATTAAAGAAAAGTTGTAGGTATGTTTTATATATATATATATACATATATACATTTATATACATATATATATATATTTCCAGAGATTTTGTTTTTATATGTGTATGTTTACTCGCAGTGAAACATTAAAAAGTGAAAATTTATATAATTTGGAAAAACATCAGAAAGTGTGAAATATCTGAAAATAAATCTTGCAACAGTTGTGCAGAACTACTATGAAAAATATGAAACCTAAGTACAAATTATTACACAAGACTAAAGTAATTGGAAGAGTAGAGTGTTAACGATATTCGGAGGACTTAATTTTTAAAGGTGTTGATTCTTCCCAAATTAGTTTATAGATTTAATGCAAAGTAAACCAAGATTCTAAAAAAGGATGTGGGTGTGTGGCAATTGGCATGTGTAACATGACACACTGTTTCTAAGTGTGTGGGGAAAGCAAAGTCATCAGAGAAAAAAGAAGTTCTAGAAAAAAAGCAGGTGGAGAAATTTTATTTAAAGGAAACCAACACTTTTTGGGAAGCTATAATTAAGATATGTGCTACTGATGCAGAATAAGGCCAAAGGCAAAACTGCAACTCAAAAACAAACTCTGGTACATATGTGCTCTTGATCTATGATAGAAGAAGCATGTTTTTTCACAAAAGGAAGTGTAGTCTTGTCAACAATTGGTTCATAAATGATTCACTAGCATATACAAACAAAATGATATCAGCCCTTTACCTCATTTTATACACAAAAATTATTACACATTGTTTAAAGATCTAAATAATAAGAAGAAAACTGTATAAATGTCTTAGATACTAATATGAGAACATATTTGAGACCTTGAAATAAGGCAAAAATTTACATTAAAAAAATTTACATAAAAGAAAAAACTAATAATTGAACTATATTAGAAATAATAACTTCTAGATATCAAAAATACTATAGCTGGGGCTGGGGATTTAGCTGAGTTGGTAGAGTGCTTGCCTCACAGGCACAAGGCCATGGGTTCAATCCCCAGCACCCCCCCCACACACACACACATGCACACACACAAATACTATAGCTAAAAAGATAAACTAAGAAGAGTAAAATTCCAAGCCACAGAAAAGAATCTGTAACCATGCAACTACAAACAGCAAACCAGAATAGGTAAATAAATATTTGTATCCTTAAGAAAAATACAAATTATTACAAATAATGGTGAAAAGATATAAACAGGTCCCTCCAAATTGGTCCTAAGCTTATGAGAGGCTGTTCAATTTCAGTGACTTTTTAGAATGAATATTGAAATTGAAAACCATAATATGAAGCTGAACATCAAAAGTTTTTGAAGCTGGGCAGTACCAGCTTTGGTAAGCTGTTTCATTCACTGCTGGTTGGAGTGTAAATTGGTATAATCATTTGAGGAAACAGCTGGGTTTTATCTCCCAAAGCTGAAAACTCAAGTATCCTAGGATCCAGTTCTTCTATGCTAGTGGCAGATTCTAGATAAAACTCTTACTCTTCCGCACAGCAGGTACGAGTATCCACAACACCCCAGTGTGGAAATGCCCCAGGTAGCCACCAGCATAGAATGCTTCAGTGGACTTTAATGTATTCACACCAAGTGATTCTGTAGAGAAGAGAAAATAAATGAACTAGGGCTACACACAATGACACTGAACAATGAGCAAGTCGTGAAAATTTCACACACTCACACACAAGACGATTCATTTTGTAAGAAGTAGAAAAATAAAGTAAACTGAGTCATTTTTGAGGAAAACTATCTAAACATCAAAGCTCCTCACGAAAACCAAAGGGATGTTTATGTCTGGTTAGCAGAAGGGTGACTTTCTAGACACCCTTCCCTGGAATGTGGAAGAGCCATCCCTCCAAGTTGCCCGTACAATGAAAATATCGGTGCCACCTTCCATGCCGACCCCAGCCTTTCACCTCTCATCTAGATAAATTCCAAGTCCCTTGGATTTCAAAACCCTGAGCCTGCACTTTGCCTTGTGAGGAACTGCCAATGTTTTGCCCTCAGGCAAAGAGGAAACCTGACGTCTTTCCCTGACCACTCATCTCTCAATGTCCAATCCCTGTTTTTCAGACCTCTCCCTGCCACAGTCTGCTAATTAAGAACATACTCCATCAATTTTCCCTCTTCTCTCTCTCTCTCTCTCTCTCTCTCTCTCTCTCTCTCTCTCTCTCTCTCTCTCTCTCCCTCTTCTCTACCTCCCCTTCTTTACTTTTTCTCTCCCACCCTCTTTTCTTTCCCAACCTTGAATCCATGTCCTACTTTGTGATATATTTCAGCAAGTCTTGACACAGATATGAAACGTCACATCCTTTCTATGTCAGCCTCTTCTGTACTCCCAGGATAAGGACAGAAATTCCATTACCTTCCAGAAGTTCAAGTTTGGGGAAGAATTTATTGACGCACACTGCAATGTAACATCAAAGCAACCACCTTCTCGCTAGCAGAATTTGGAAGTGAAGTGGAGCCAAGCAACACAAGGAAGGAGGGAGAGCTCTTTTTCTCTTGGAGCTTGCAACCCTGGAGACAACAGGTAGTGGGCCCAAGCAGTGGTGCCCGTCCCTTAAGGATCCGCATTCATGGAGTGAGTGGATGAGTGTCCATGTTCCTAATGCACAGAAATAGAAAAGTAATTTTAGAACACTCTGATTTACATGCAGATACATCGCATTCTTAGGAGTTGCTCCAGCTCAAAAGGATGTGATGAGAACATTCCTGGGAATTACTAGGCGCCTACTCTGCCAGGCACATGTGAGTTGTTTGCTATATGCTGCTCAGCAGCACCAGAAGCCTCCTCTGACCAGGCAGCTCCCTGGCTCCCTCCTCTGTAGAAAAAAATTCTCATTGTCCATACCAGTGGCTCCTGGGCTTTTCAGTAATCCTGCCTCACAAGGACACTTCAACTGCTTTATCATCACTCACCTTTCATGGACAGTCACCTGTGTTCCCCAGCCTGGCTGAACAGAGACCACACAGGCACGGGTCTAGCTTTCTTTCTTCCTGTCATTTAACCCATGGATGGACATGAGCTACCGGAGTGGTAGACATTTGCTGAAAGAGGAAATGCATATTTATACAAAAGTGTGTGGGATGGATAATTACAAATACAAGATGATTTCCTCAGCATCCTTAAACAGATGTGAAAGAAATGGGTGTGGGGACAATTCCCAGAGAGTTTAAGCTGCAGCTAATTCATGCACAGATGCCTAGCAACTGTCTCAGGCCATGCTGAATTGTCTTCCATGGGACAAGCATTAAAAGGTCCTTGTTCTTCAAGTAGGAAATTTTACAGCTTTGTCTTGGAGGTTGAACACAGTCCAGAATGTTACCTGAAGCAAACAACAACAACAAAAAAATCAAAATATAAAATAGAGATAGGGATGTATAATCACAGAGGCATTGGAAGAGGATGGGGAAGAAGGAGTGGAAAGTGCGGCCTTAAATTCCGAAAATCATTCCGTCACTCTCAGAAACCACAGCAGTGACTTCCAGACCCATCAGCTCCCTCTGTTCATCAGCTAGAAACATGGAAAGGGACACAGTGCTCAGATCTATGGCAGTGGGGACTCGTGTCAATGGTGTTTCTTATTTGCTTTAAAATGCCGTCATATTTTCCAAACTCCCCTCCCCCAGAGAAACTCCCACACCAAAAATTAAGCTCAGGCAATGTTTTACTTTTTGCAATTGAGCAGTTTGGAGTTTTTCGTGCATGGGCGCCACTCCACCCCATCCCACTCCATCCTAAATTGAGTTTGAGGCTTTTTTTGTTTTCACTCTTGCATAACATGAAAATGAGTGAACACATTTTACTCAAAATTTCCATCTCCAAATCCCCTAAGTGGTGTGAAAAATCCTGGAAAATCTCAGAGCAAAAGAGGACGTTAGGAAAAACCAGGACAAGTGGAAACAGCAGTGAGGAGTGTAACCTAAGGTCTGTGTCAACACAGTCACTATTCCCCCAAATGTCCTCTCTCCCAGGAGTCTGGGCTGCCGGGGAGAGCCACAGGCTCGTGTCTACTCCCCAGTCATGGCCAGGGGTAAGTCCATCCTGCCACGGCCACAAGTCTGCCTTGACCTTCAGGAACTCCAGCCCCATTGCCTACAGCCAATGACGCAATAGGGACCTCGTGAAAATGATGTCCTTAAAGCAGTACTGGCTCTAAAGTAAAAGAGAAAACTGGAAAATTGAAATTGATATGGTCAATTTAATATGTACAAAATAGAACAGCATGTTAACTAGCACACTAGAACTCACTTCATATACATACATAATGAGCATGCTGACGTGTGTACAAAAATATGCACGTATATGTGCATATGTAGGAGTGTCCATAAACAAATCTGTATATCTGCACTATATTTAACTGAGATATGAATATACTTTAACATTTGATATAGTGTGACTTGAGGCTTTAAAATCATGTACATGTAGAACAGCTCTGTTCAGAAGGCAAGCATCACACTTCACTCTTCCTTCGCTCAAGTGGATGAACTTGCCAAGTGTATGTCAAGTGCCTTTGAAGAAAAGCAAGTGGATTTGCCCTTGTGCACAGTTCTTGAAGGTGCCTCTCTTCCTTCAAAGAACACTAATTATTAGAAGGGGGTGGTTCTATAGTTGACACTGAGAAGGCCTGAAGAAAAAGCTGGCACTTGCTGTAGGTCTCAGAGTAGAGCAGAAGCTGTGGGGAATAGGGTAAGGGGTGTGTGAGAATCAAGACAGAACCTTGGCAGCAGGTGTGGGGTCTTGAGAGCAGGATGCACAGCCTGAATTCCTTTAGTGAGCTTGGCTGTGCGTCCTCACAGAGGATGCTGAAAAGGAGCTTAGGCTGGTATGAGCTTGAGCTGCATGTTTAACGATGTGTGTATTAGTTCACTTTAAACAGGTAAGATTTTTCCTCCCCATCTGCAGAGTCAAGAGAGTTAGTGAATTCTAGAAAGAGCAGCCAATATTGGGCCATCATCAAATAAACTACCAAGATTTGAGATTTTTTTCTTTCCACAGATAAAGCAAGAAAACATTCAGGGTCCAAGCTGATATCTTCTTTATTCTATTCTGGGAGGTCTTTGGAAATCTTTCCTTAAGTAACTTCCAACAGACGACCTGATTTCAGGCACAGGTAACAGGACAGGAAGAGATATTGCAGGCAAGAGAAACTTCTCACTCTGACATGATTTCTTGAAATTAAGAGTGCAATTTATTTTTACAAAGAAAAATAATAATGCTGGCACCTCTGCCTTACAGAAATTGTTATTGTGAAGCACTGTTCCCCAGTGTGCTCTTGAGTATAATAATGAAACTTTGGTACAAATAGGCACAATGTGTTTATGTTTCGTGTTCTCTGATTACAGAAATAATGAGGTTGGTGTTGTGTAGAAGGAGAATTGGGTCAAAGAATACACTTGGGTCCAAATCCAGCACCTTTGGTGATTGGTTTTGTGATTCTGAGAAGTCACTAATTCTCCTCAAGATTCATTCCTCTGGGTTATTGGGACATGATGTCATCTCTATTTATAGCAGTTCGGGGGAGAATAATTCACAAGGCGATGCCCTGTGAATTGTTAAACATTACAAAAGTGTAAGAGAAAAACATTATGTTTGCCTCAAATTTAGAATTTTTTACTCATCTAACACTCTCCAAAGCATTATATGGAGAGGAAAAAAATATTCCCTACAGATTGAAAGTCATGCTCCAAAGGATACCTCTTTTCTCCACGTTGTTTCATTTGGAGCTTTCTCCTGTCCTGGGTAAGTACTCAATGGGTTTCAGAAACAAAAAGATGACCTAATCTAACCCTTGATCGTGTCTTTATGAGAAACGAAGGCTCCTGAACAGAAAGTGCTTTATGCAGGTTGAAGAGACGGATCCCTTGTCCAGGAGTCCAAAATGTTCCCTTCTTCTGGGTTATACTGTCCTCATGAGAAGATGATGGCATGTTCCCACAGTCAAAGTCGTCCATATTCTTCTTCACTCCTCTTGCTACATTAACAAGAAGTATGATTGAGGATTCTACAGGCAAGAAGTTGGGGATAAAAAAATCCCTTCTCTTATTTTTTATATCACCCACCATGAAATAAGGGTAATAGGAGTCAGGATGTAGAGTTTAAGAGCAAGACTATGGATTTTGACATCAAGTTTGGCTTTGAATTCTCATTCCTGCCCTGGCCCATGCTCACTCCTCCTAAAACACATACAGATGATATTTTTTTGAAATTATGGGAAAGTTATTTAAATATTTTAAGTTTTGCTTTCTTTTGTAAAACAGAGGGAACTGCTACTAACCAGTAGAACTGTGCTAAAGTTAGTTAATTTTCTTCACATTTATAAAGCATTTAACACGGCTCTAGGCCACAATTAGATTCTCAGTCAATGGATATTGTCGTTTTATTGTAAAATTATGATTAAAGAGTTTTATACTACAGTCTGTCTGAGGTTTCTGATTTATCTAATGATTAGTTAATTAATTCCTAGAAGGAGAAAAACAAAAGGAGATATTTACATGCCTTACAAACAATTTGATCTGATTTGGGCTAATTTCTAAAACTTTTGAGTATTTTTTAAAAACCTGACCGCTAAATTGCTTTTATAGTTATACAAAAGTATTAGAGAAAACATTAGTGCCTGATAATAAGGGAAATAGGAAACAAGGTTCCAAGATACATACATGATAACTAATATTACTATAATAATGATTTTTCTGCAGAACTGAGAAGAATTCAAAGTTTGAATATGTGATGTAATATTTTACATGCATACAATATAGGAAATTTGGCAGACACAAATTCATGATGAGCAATTTTGGATAAAACACTGATGGATGAAGGGCAGAATTCTTCAGCATCTGCCCAATTGTTCTCAGAAAGGATGGGGAGCTACAATCTCCCAGAGAGCAAACTATTTCTCCCTAGAGCCTTTTCTTGAAACTAACATATAACATATTCTCTTTTTTAGTGGGTTACTTAAGAATATGTTTGTACATAAAAACAACAACAAAATTCATATACATATTGAAAAATTAATTTAGGGTATGATAGCTCTAGGTCATCAGAAATTTGGTCCAACTTTCTTTGAATTTTTCACTTTATTTTATATATAGCTTTCATCCTCAAGTTTTCTTCATGGTCAAGTGCTGTCAGCTTTAGTCAATCATTCTATCCACATTCCAGACAGAAGAAGGATGGAGAAGCTTGGCTGAGTCAATTCTAGAGCTTTGTGGGAAGTTCTGTCCACCTCTCCATTGCATCCACTTGAATTTATATCTTATTGGCCATTTAAAACTGCAAAGTGCCTCTCTGCATATTGCCACGTTGAATTAAGTCAGGGGAAGATAAGAAAACGAAAGGGGAGAATGAATATTTATACAGACAACCAGGTCTCTTCTATGATTGTGCTTCCCAGCCAATATCCAAACCAGAACTAACTGGTTGATGTGATTCTTTGAAGTTAGAAATAAAGTTTCTCTTATTCTTAGAAAAAGTAATATTTCTGGTTGACATTTGTGTATTGATTTACAGTTTGCAAAAAAATCTTCATTGCATATTAATAATCCATTTGATGCTAACTGCATTCACAAGAAGTAACATTTTGTAGACATAATCAAAGAATTAAATTAACCAAAAAGCTTAGTACTTTGTCCAAGAATAGCCAATAAGTAAATAGAGGGGATAAGATGAAAATCAGACCTGATAGACTCCAAACTGCATGTTCTTTTGTTTGAAAATTCATGAATGAGCAGCCAGTTCTCCCTAATTCTTTCTTGACTAGTGAATTATGATTTTCCATTTATTCTCTTCCTCAATTCTAGCTATTTCTTTTTAAAGAGATTTAAAATTCGAACTTATTTAACATAGGGTGGAGAAAGAAAGGAAATCAAAGAAGGAAAATACACTAGCCAACATGCATAATTTATCCTCTTTAAAAAAAAAATTCATGACACCTTGTTGCACTGCCAGGAGCTCTGTTGAGTCAGTAATATTTCCCTACAGAAGAGCAAACAAATTGGAAAGACTGACACTTTTGTAAGCTCATTCTGTGAGTAGGAGACAGATGGAACTTCATTCTTTCTGACTTTTTAACCCGAACTTTGGTTTTATTCACTTGTCAACATATTTGGAAGGTATTTTTTAATTATATATTTATGTAGAAGTGTGCAATTAATAAAGGAGCTAAATAAAGTAAAATTAACCAGAAGAATTTCTGAATAATGGGTAAGATCAAACAGAGAACTAAGAGATTATGAAAACTCAGTTGAGTCAGAAGTTCTCAGATGACTTTTGTCGTAGGAATGAGGTAACTGAATATTTCAGGATGTTACAGGAGGGATATACTTACATAGAGTATTTGTTTCAGCAATATTTAACAGAACTCTTATATTTTTATTTTTTAAATCTAGTAACCTTATATGTGAAACAAAGTACTTAATTTAATTCTTGCAACAACTTTTCAAAGGGTTAGATAAGGTGATGGATGCCTGAGAGATTAACTTTGAGGTCACACAATTACAAGGGGAGGACTCACACCCATATTTTTCGCCTCCGTACTCTACAGTTCTATCAAATTTTCTCAAGGGCTGCAAATGAAAACAACCTTGATGCATTTTATCAATTAAAGAATTTAACCATTGATTGATTATCCTATAAGAGGGAAGGGTGCACATGAAAGCTATAAAGAATCCAAAACCTCTCTCTGAATAATGGCTAAGGCATGTGATGTTTTTAATGTCTTCCAGATCATCTAGAGAAATAGGAAAGCAAAGATGTATCCACTCTTGAGAATCATTAAGGCAGCAGTTTCAGCGGGGGGTGGGGTGGGGGTGATTTTGTACCAGGGTGGGGAGCATGAAGTAATGTCTGGAGACATTTTTGGTTGTCACAACTGGGGGTGCTACTGGAATCTAATGGGGGAGAGGCCAGGATTCTAGACATCCTCCAATGCACAGGACAGCCCCCCACAACAAAGATTTATCCAGTCCCCAATGTCAGTAGTGCTGATTTTAATTTGGGGTTGAGAAACCTCAAATTAAAATAATGTGTTGGGGTTTTAAATGTTTTTCTTTTTATTTTAGGTCACAGAGCTGCATGCATAAAGCGGCAGGGTGGAAGTTCAGGGTCTTCTGTGAAGGCTGAATTCTAGATTCCAACACTCTCCATGGTGTTCAACCAAGCATGAAGGAAGACAGGGCCTGGCCTTTGGAAAGGTACCTTCCCGCAGCTCCTGTGCATCTTTAGAAATCAAAGCTGGTCTGTGCAGCTCTGTACTTTCTGTGTTTCTTGATGATTGGATTTTGTATTAGTAGTGACACTTGCATTGGTTTTACACACAGACTATTACAGGGTGTGCTACAGTTCTAATCCAAGGGTACCTTAGTTTTGGACAACTCATTCCCCAAGGTCAAATGTGATGAATACAGAACTAGACTGAGATTCCAAATTTCCCATATCTGCACTCGACCATTCCGTCCTTAGCCCCAGGCTCCCTCACTAGATGGCCCTTCTGTCTGAAAGTGGTGGAAAGAGGATTTGTAGCTCAAGGACACTGGATTAGTATGAAAGGCATGGGGTGAGAAGTTAGGCTATGTTAATTTGAGTCTCATCCATTTATCTTCTGTCTATGAACCCTGGACAGTTTTAGAACTCCTATGAGCACTGTATCCATCACCCACAAAATGCAAACAAAAATTTTACTTACCTCGCAGGGTTGTGGTAAGGATCAAATAAGGTAAAACATCTTAAAATTCATTTCATAGTTTACAAAGCATCACTAAAACAGATTAAACTCCTTACAGACTATTTGCAAAGAGGAGTTTAAAGCATATGTGTTAAGTTAGAGTGGCTCTGTGTGTTTGTGGTTTTTTCATTGTATTGACAAAGTCAATTTCATGTTCCATGGGGTAGAGGGCCTGCCCTCCCTCAATTAAAGGAAGAGAACTATTTTTGTGAAATTTGTTTGTTTAAACACTTTCTCCCTTTTTGCAGGGTGGGTGGTTAAAGAGAGCAAAATAACTTTTTCTTCAAACAAACAAATGCAAGAAATACTCGATTCTGGTTGACAGAACTCAGTAAACAATGGCCAGTTTTAAATGTTAATGGCCTTGGGGTCCAATTGAGTGTGAGTGTTGCCTTCAACCTCTCTTGACAGATGTGGATTTGCAAAGTGAGAAACACCAGGTTGACCCTGCCTCTGTTACCAAATGCAGGAGGTGCTCTGCTGGAGTGGGAGAGCCACCTCTTCCAAGAGGCTGAGCAGGGTTTCCCAGGGCAAGGCCCTTCAGGGGCTGATACTCTAAAGTTTCCTGAGAGAGTGGAGGTTTCCATAAAGGCCTGATTCATTTCAAGATGCTGTGGTTTCTGGTCCATGTCAGAGTGACAGAACACACAGCGTCAGAGGGGGCTAGTGTCTGAAATGGAGAAGAATGCAGAAAGAGCAGCCTCAAGTTGACTATGGACCCTCTAGAGGGCTAAGAGAGACTTAGCCCTCTCTTTCTTGTCACTTCCCTTGCTG